CCAACTATAACACGCGCGCTTAGGTTACTTTAATCGACTAAGAGAAATGAGTTTGGAAAGCCAAAAAACGCAGCTTTTCTGCAAGCCACTCTCTCAAACAGATATCAATGTGAGGCTTTCAGTTCCGATGGAAAGTTTTGGTGCCTTTGAGTTTGCAGAGGGTGAATTCAAGGTAGATTTCACAGCCATAGACATCGAAGAGAAGCCATGGAGGTTTCGCCTCTCCAAAAGGGAGAATGATGTCCACCCCAAACCGGTGCTGAACGCTGGATGGCTTGCTTATGTTCAGAAAAAGCGTCTTCAGAAAGGTGATAAGTTCCTTCTTCACGTTGAACGTAAAGAGAAGGAAAAGAGATACCGAATTCAAGCGCTGAGAAAAGCCTTCAAGTTTGGGGGATCGGACATTTGGGTCGACGTAGAGAAGTTAAAGAAAGATGTCTAGGGAGTTCCACCCATGAAAGTTCTTTGACGGGATTAGAAGGTTCTACTACGTACCTCATCATTCTGCCTTTTCTGTTAATTAGAAAATAAACAGTTTCATCAACGAACGTTTAATTTTATTGTTAGTTAGAGGAAGACGTTAAGGGATCAGTTTCAGTTTCATCAAACGAATGTTCTTCGATAGGATTAGAATCCATTTTCTTTGTAGCTTTTTTCGCCTTTTTGGTTTTTGCTTCCTCTCCCCTGTACAGTTTCTCCTTTCCTCTCACCTTTGAGAGATGTTTCCTTCTCATCTTCTCCCTCACTTTTCATCCATTGCTTTTTGGTTTTCTCCTTTCTTGTTTTTCATTTCTCTTTCGTCTTCACTGTTTGTACAGATTGGTTGAGGAATCAGAAATGGGACAAAGAAGAAAAAGCCAAATGTTTTCACCTTTCAGTGTTAGAATTCGAATATGTGAAGTACAGTATTTACTTATCTTAGTTCGTGTTTAATTGTGTGTCACTGTTATTTTTTTTTTATTAATTTCTCGATATTCAATAATCATATTGAGTTTTGATTAATTTAAAATTAAATTGTATAAAATTTCATTAAAAAAAATTTTTCTTCGCACATATTTCTCTATTTATAAGGTTTGAATTTAAAACTTTATTTTAAAAAAATTAAAATCTTTTCACTTAAATCAACATATCATCAATTTTATGTATCACTGTTATGGTTGTAAGGATATGTCTAATCAAGCTTTTTTTTCCTAAAAGTAGAAAGCCCAGTAAATGTCATGGGATGGATATGGATTCTCTTGTTGTGCTCTGATGGTAGTCATTACTTTTCAAAAAAACAATGGATTGCATCTTTAATTTAGGTTCAATATCTCTCTGAAGCAATATTAACTTTACTAATTTAACCATTATTTATGTCAAAAAAAAAAAAATAAATGTCACGGGACTGTGATCAAATACGGGCACCCATATAATCTAATTTAATTATCTTAACTTAATTTTTATATAAAATTTTGTCCAGCAGATAGAGAAGGAGAAATAGAGGAAAGTGGAAATGTATTAGAAATTTATATGGGTAAAAAATTTCGATTTTTTTTTTACCAATAATGAAGTTTAAACATTAACAAGCATTTTTTTATATTTAAGAAATTTATTAATTGCTATGCTAACCTTAAGTTTAAATTTTATTATTGAAACTAATACAATAATTAATTATAATTTTTTATCAACTAATAATTATTATTATACTAAAAATTAAGAATATTGATCGAAACAAAATAAAAATTTTGTGAGAAAAAAATTAATGCCTTGTATTAAAAAAAGATTGATAACTAATAAAAGTTATGATTAAAATTTTCATAAGTTTGAGGCTGGATTACATTTTTTTTCAAAAAGTTTAGTGGGGCCAACGTTCCCCAGTCTACACTTAGCTCCGCCGCCATAGCTCTCAAGCTGTTGCTTTATCAAGTAGAAGTGTGGAACAAAAGCCAAAGTTGTTCTCACGTTTTTGGAAGTGCAGCTTAAGCTTTCTGCTCTCAATCTTTTCGCACACCCCACTCAACCATGGGTGAGGTTTTAAAGAGCAACCTTGCTATTTATTTATTTATTATAATAACATAATTGTTAGGTTTTTTTTTCAAAAAAATTATTAATTTTATTTATAATTTTATTAAATCATAATATTTTAAAATTATTAATTATAAAATTTAAAAGTATTTATTTTTAAATTAATTTTAATATATTAAATAATAAATATTAATTATTTTAATAATTAAATTAAAATAAAATTTTAACAATTTTAATAATTCTAACAAAAATAATAACAATCGGAACCATGCCCCTCAGCCATACCACCTTTAACCGCGCTTTAACCTGTAGAACATCAAAAGTCAAAGTTTGAAAAGGCTGTGGGCCGCAAGCATGTTTCGGCAAGTGCACGGAAGCTTCCTTTTTCCCATACCTGAAGTTGTTACTATCATAATTTATAAATAATAGTAATGATAATTTATAAATAATTTTAATGGAGGAATTTAATGACTAATAATTTAAAATTTAAAATTTAATAAAAGAAATTTAA